ACATGTAAAGAAAGAGAATCATTAAGGCTCGTCCAGTTCACAAGGCAAAAGAAAAAACACTTACCAATTATGAAAGTTAATGAACATCAGGTGCAGTGGTCACAAATTTTGCCAAGTTTTTGAATGGTTGTACACGACAAGACGATAATTCTTCCATCGTGCAAATTATGGTCATTTTCGTCAGTTAAGGCTCGTTAGCATTCAGCCTGCTTTAAATCAAACACAGAGATGCAGTGTGGTAAGATCGCATTTATTTGAATGAATTAATTATATCATTTAGTTGAATTGGCGAGAGAGAGAGAGAGGGGGGGGTGAAAGTTGCATGTGTGAACCTGCGTCTGCGCGTCTCTCTCTACAAGCAATGAGGCTTAGTTACTTCAAAAACAGTGATTTTACCCCCTCATAGCAGAGAAATATAACGTTGCGAGTCAGTAGCCTGTCGAAGCTATTTTACTAATAAAAGTTTCCGTGCTGTGTTGTCGTTGTCGTGTGCAATAATGTGTGTGCGTGCATCTATGAAAGCAGCGTAGCCTACTGCATATCGTTTTAGTTTAAACCCGAGCCCGACCCGAAGCTATTCATTAAACATTAACCCGAACCCGACCCGAAACCCGAAAGTATTTCGGGTCGGGTAGCAGACCTGCACAGAAAGCTCCGAGGCGGTTTGACCAAACACTTCCTTAAAGTGGCCGAAGGCGGCTGAGAGTGATGTTGTTATTGGAGCGTTGGATTGCCACAGAGATTGAGCCCACTGAAGAGCGCGGCCAGACAGCAGAGAGATGACAAATGCCACTCGGGCGCAGTCGTTGGTGAACTGGTGAGACTGCATTTAAAAATACAGCGAACATTGTAGGATAAACCCACTGCAATCCTCCGCCTCACTGGTGAATGTCACTGGTAGAACCATGGGATTGGCAGAGGCAGCAGGCGAAGTTGCGGGTGTTGGCTGCAGGAGTGATTGACGTGCTGCTTCAATGAGGTCGGCTGGAATTGCAGATGAAGCGGCAGACGTGGAGGGCTGGAGAGACAGATGAACAGCATTAACCAGGCCAGCGAAAGGATCGGTGGGGTGATCCCGGCCAGTATCCGTGGAGCTCTCCATTTGGTCTGGTCTTCTGTCACACAACAGAAGGATGCAGACAGGTAAGTTGTATAAAACCGAGTTTATTGAACAGAGGCATGGAACTGGACAGGAATGCAGACTGGTGAGATAATAACAATAGGCAGATTGTATGAAGACTTAGCTTGAAGTGATTGAACAGACTCTCTTGCAAAGGAGTGGATTGGAAGCTGACGAAGGGCAGATGACGGATGACAGAAGACTGCTAATGAATACAAATGGCAGAAAAGTCTCAGGTAAGGAGTCTATAGTGTTCGTAAGGACGAGACCACACAAGGGAGTGCAGAAGAAGTGCCTCTTTATAGTGAGTGCTGATGATGAGGTGCAGGTGCAGTGAATCAGAACTCAGGGGAATGTGAATGAGTGGGTGGAGCGTGCTGATCTGGTGATGATGAGCTGTAATTGGTCTGTGATTGTTGTGACTCCGTGACAGCATGTTATATGGTTTCACATGTTTATGGTTAAATGGTGTGCGTGTGTGTGTCTGTGGTAGATAGAATATGCTGGTGATCATTAACAAATTCATGTTAATGTGGTGAAATGCAGTTATTGCGGTGGGTTTGCTGCTGTCTGGTTGACCAGACCCCCTAGGATATTATTTGTTATGGCTTCCTAGTTAGGGGAGTGTATATAAAGGCGTGACGCAAAATAGAAGGGTGTTGCATCATATTCAGCTGATCGCATTTCTGGAGTTTCACTGCGTTGCATGAGGGGTATGTATAGGTGTTTTCCATCTAGGTTGTTGGTGTTGTAGACTTTAATAGTGACTTTAACTGTTTGTTTGCTACTAGTAATCTTTGTGAAGCTGGTGTTTGTTCGGGCGCATGTTGCACCCATATATGGGCGATCGCTGGTCCTCTGCTGTTGTGTTTCTCTGCATTTGAGAATTGCAGGTGACGCCTGCTTGGATGATTGCTGCTGCCTGTATGCGATCTATTATAGTAAGGGCTGCTGGATAGATGATGTGGTCCGCATTATCTGGTATGTATGTACAACCCACTCTTGTCTCTCTAGCCCGCATAAAGGCGTGTTGGTTTGGGTTATAACTTTGGGTTATAACTTGTCCTAGGTGTTTAAGCCATCCTGTGAGCGTGCCTGCTTTTGTGCTCCTGGCTCTGCATGGCTTATAGCAGGGACTACAGCATGGCTTGCAATTTCAACACTGCTGTTTTGCTTTTGTATAATGTTTAATTAATCTGTTTTGCTTTAATGTATGTTTTACATTTAAGTCTTGTGTTTGCAGTCAGTTTATTTGGTTGGCTTGCATTTATTAATTTGTTTTGTTTTAAACGTATGTTTTTCATTTAAGTTTTGGTGTTTGCAGTTAATTCATTTGTTTGGTTTGCATTCACTACTTTAAATTTGCATTTAATCCTTTTGTTTGCAACTAAGCTTGTTGCATTATTAATGTTTGTTTTGCAGTCAAGCACTTTGTTTGGTATTTAATAAATTTTTTTTCTTTATTACTTTTTGTTTTGTGGCAACAAGTTTGCTTGTGTTACTCGTGGTTTGATTTTTTTTCTCTTTTTGTCTTTTGTGGGAGCTGGGGGCTCGGAAAAGGCAGGCTGGCTGTTCCTGTGCAGAAATAGCTCTTTTCACCAAAGTGGTGTGGATTTGCAGTGAATTTCGTGTGTAAGTGTGGTTTTGTGCACATGTGGGTATTCAGTATTACGGGCCCTATTGAAGCCCGGTGTCTAGCCGCCTCCCTATTGCGAAGCCCCTGCTCTTTTTGTTTTGTTTTGTATGTATTTCATGGCAGCTTGTTGCACTTGTTGTGCATAATCTTTTTTTTTTTTTTTTTTACTGAACAAGGATTCATTTTAATTGAGCAATTGTTTAATAAAGATTTGTTACTTTTATACAAGGTATTCATGTCTCTGGGTCATTTTGTGAGAAGGGAAGGGCCTGTGGGTCTTTCCCGGGTGTTAATCCCCGGGTGGCGTAGTCGCGATTGTGTGAATTAGTAGAATAGTTTCAAAGTTGAGTAATTTCTTTAAAGTGACGTGACATGTGGCCAAGAATGGTGACCCATACTCGGAATTAGTGCCCCTTTATAACGTCGCCACCCGTCACATTAAGATGATTTAAAGTAGCCTATGTATAGTTTGTTGAAGCATATTTGTCATACAATCCACACTACATTATATGTTAAATTGGGAATGTGTGTGTGTGTGTGTGTGTGTGGGAGAGACAGCAGGGTTTGCTGACAATCATAAACAAAAGCTCGTAACATGAGGGTGATCAGAGGAATCACAATCAGCAGTGACTCAGTTACTCATTAGAAACACAGACGGTGTGAAACAGCCATTAGAGACAGACTTATAATAAATGAAACCGCAGACACAACTAAAGGAAGAATGATTTCTGTGTTTTGTCAGTATCTGGCATCAGAGATCTTCATCTGCAGATCCCAGCTGTGTGTCTCTGAAGAGTGACAAATCATTGGATGTTCCTCCTAATTTCAGTAATGAACCAGTGACCTCTGACCCCAGGTGAGGATAAATATGTGGTGGTGGTTTAACTGATCTAGTGAAACTAGGAGACAATTAATATGAGCGTTAAAAACACAGAGAAATGAAATGCTTGTGTATATGAATATTAGTGCTGTGCTTCACTCTGAAATCCAGAACATCAAACTCTATACCTTTTGGCAATTTGGTAAGCACAAAAAGCCATATTGCGATTTTCAGCTTTTAGTTTGTTTTTCAATGCTTGGACAACAAAAACAATAGCACAGCTTTAGAGACCATTTATGTTATTATGAGAAGTGTAAAATATTTTTGGTTCATTATGAAAAAGGCGAAAAAGATTAGTCATTAATGGGAAATGCTGGATATAAGAAAATGATTGACTAACAGAACCTGTGATGTCAGCTTGAGGACAAGCTTGAGCTTTTTTCATAATTGTATTGTCTTTTGTTGTTGTTTCAGCAGAGTGTATGGAGTCTCGCGCTTACAGTTTAGACCCTCGGCCTCTTGTCCGACCAGCAGCTTCACTCCCATTAGAGCGTCCCTGAATAGATGCACCCGATCAGTGAACGCTGAACTACAGAGAGTCAAAGACCAGCACAAAACCAGCATGAGGAGCAAGTATGAGAGATTATTTGAGGGACTGAAACTCCAGGAGAATGAAACCCTCCTGAACTATTATAAGCCACGTTGAGTATGTTTCAGAAATATTATGCTTATTCCTATAACCATGTTAGATCTTTGTGGAAAAAACGCATTGCTGGTGAATTATGGCAAGAATCAAAATTACGATAATTTATAATGTAATCAATACAGATTTCTGTCATAAAACTCTAGATGGCACAGGCTGATAGGTCCGTAACTCGATCTTATTGTAATCACATAATTCACTGTTGGGCATAGCTGATTGGTTTCTGCTGTATCAGTAGCTATTGAGCACACTGCTTAATATACAGATACTTGGTCAGCATCTTTGTAGCAGTTTACAGTACGCTTTCAGAAGTCCTCTGAAATTCAGCATCTAAGATAAGTGAACATTCTTTTACTCCTTATCTCTGTGCTTTATTGCATGCTCTGCATTTTAATTCCTAAACTAGCAACCATATACAGATTTTAAAATCAAGTTCTAAACACCCCCAAGCAGAAGCAGCATGTCTTGCTCACAGCAATGTGTCATGTATGTATTGGCAGAAGCATGTCCCGTACTTGCTCTGCAGCAGCAGAAGCAATAACAGCAGCAGCGTAGCAGATCTACTCCATTAAGACCAAACATATTAGCGATGTCATATGTCATGTCATGATCCCTTAACTAAATGCGTTCAACAACCATGAAAGTCCTCAGATGAATCAAAAGTTTTGAGTTACTGTTTAAGAAAATGTTTCTGCTGAGATAGTAGTTTAAGAGACTAAACATGTATCTGAGTGAGTTTAGTCCGTTCTCATGTATCAAAATTGATAATATCATTTAAGCAAATGCAGCCAAAGTGGCAAATAATAGAAAAATAAAATGTTTATTAAATGGACATTTATGCAGTAAGTATTTAATCTGTAAAACAGTAAAATTACACTAAATACACAGATATATGGAGAGGATGCTCTCAGGTTCATAATTCAAAACTTAGATTTTTATATCTTCAGCGAGACATTGCTACATTTTTCAATGTGTGAATATTTGAAGCAAAGAAACTGATTTTAACGAACCTGAATGATAAAATTATCAGATTATCTCCTCACACTCATGATGTAATGTGATTCAGGCTGGAATGTTAAACATATTTTGTTCCAGGTTCCTAAGAACAGACATTTCATTATTTTATTTGTTAATATTTCATCTCTTCTAGTCTTGCTGGCTGTAATCTCACTGCTCAGTGTTGTGAGAGTTTGTCATCAGCTCTACAATCCTCAAACTCTGTCCTGACAGAGCTGGACCTGAGTAACAATGACCTGCAGGATTCAGGAGTGAAGCTGCTCTCTGATGGACTGAAGAGTCCAAACTGTCAGCTGCAGATACTAAGGTTTGAATTTCACATTCATTTTTATTAATTTGGTTAAAAAAAATGAACTAATGTCAAGTCACTTTTCACAATCCAGGTATTTTCTAAACTGCTTTACTGAATATTGTTCCCTAATGTTTTAAAGGGGTCATATGATGCTTTTTTAAAGATCATTATTTCGCATCATATGACCCCTTTAAAGCCAGAGTGAGCAGCCAAAGGTAAAAAAAACAATGTTTCTAGAGAAGAGAAAAACATTGAGGAGCCAATTGTCTTCTGACATCACAATAATTGTACATCTGTGTTAAATATGATCTAGTTACATTGTGTGTTTGTATGCGTGAGAGATAATTATGTCTATTGAATAAATTATGTTTTCAGTCTGCTAGTAAGGCCATCATTAAACAATGTTTAGTGTAGTTACTAAAGTCCATCCTGAATTGACTAGAGAGATGCAGTCCGCAGTCAGTGACGTGTATCTCACTGTCTGGCTGCTGTAGTTTAGAGTTGTTCAGCAACATGAGGCTGGGGCTGAACAGGAGCTGATACAGCTTCACATGCACTTCTCTCTTCACAACAACACACTGCTCTGCTCTATTCTGTAGGTTGTCTGGCTGTATGGTGACAGAGGAAGGCTGTGGTTATTTGTCTTCAGCTCTGAGTTCAGCTCTGAGAGAGCTGGATCTGAGCTACAATCACCCGGGACAATCAGGAGTCCAGCTGCTCAAACACAAGCTGGAGGATCCCAACTATAAACTGCAGATACTCAAGTATGTCAAACACTAATATTGACATACTGAATGTGTGTGAATGATGCAGATGTACAGTAATGTGTGTTTTTGTGTTTATAGTGTGGATCATGGAGGAGAGATCATGATGACAGCAGGATCACGAAAGTGTAGGTTTACAAACACACACACACACACACACTTATCTGTTTTGTTGCTCTATGTGCGATGTTCCCTATCGATACTTCACTCATACTGCATCTGCTAAGACGCTATGGGAAAAAGTTATTTTTTCTCCTAAACTGAAGCCTTTTTTAATAACGCAGAGTAACTGCACGGCCATAGGTTTGTGCAGTATACTTTAAAAACGAACCAATGTCTCGGCAGCGGTGCTGCACGAACCTATGGCCACGAACCCCACCTAAGCCCGCCAGAATGGGCGGGGCCATCTGGCTATATAAGCGGCCGTTTCGCCCTAGGATTCAGATTTTTTCTCCTTCAGCGACAACGACATTCTTCACTGATCTACGAGACTCAAAGCCTCTCACCGTTGCACAGAAGGATCAAGCTGAACCAGCGACCCTCTGCTCGGCTGATTCGCCACTTCTCCGCCGCCTTCAGCGCCGCAGCAGCAGCGGTCCCAGCTGATCCCGTCGCCATCCAGAGAGCCTAAAAGAGCTTATTTTTAAGGAGGTTTTAAGTTCTAAAAGAGCATTTTTCTAGCGACCTTGTTGCAAATGTCACTCTGCGAGTGTGGCTCGTGCAGGTTGCACGAGGCAGAAGGGCAGTGAGTGCGTCACCTGTCTGGGCAGCCCCCACGCAGAGACTGCACGCTCACTGAGACAGAATGCTCTCACTGAGAGCATGAGTCTTGCTCTTCTCACGCTTTATGAAGGCTGCCCTGCTCTCTCGTTTCTCCTCTCTCAGCAAAGCTTGGAGAGAGAAACAGCGGAGCCACGGGACTGAGCAACCGAGGTTGAGCGATCGCACGCCGGCACAGAACACACGTGCTCGCTCTCCCCGCTGCACTTGATCCGCCACGGAAGGGCAGTGAGTTGTGCGCTCACTGAGACAGAATGCTCTCACTGAGAGCATGAGTCTCACTCTTCTCCACTCGTGGACCGCCTTCAATGAAAGCAGCCCCGCTCTCCCGTTTCTCCACTCTCAGCAAGGCTCGGAGAGAGAAACATCGGAGTCAGGGAGCTAAGCAACCAGGTCTGAGCGATCTCATGCTGGCACAGAGCCCGCGCACTCGCTCTCCCCGCTGCAATTGATCCGCCGGTGTGTCTTACACGTAAAGGATTAGCGCCATTTGTTACATCGAACGGCTTAATCCTCCTAGGCGGATCGGAGCAGAACGCTGTCACTGACAGCTTCGCATATGTGAGTGTGTCGCTAAGGCTGCGCTCACAGAGACGGGCTGTTTTCACAACGAAAGCAGTCTGCCCCTGTTTGCTCGTGGAAGGCGGCCCCGCCTCCCCCACTCACATGTTTATCTACTCCCAGTTACCTCTGAGGAAGCAATGGCGAGCTCGCGGGTTGAGCGATCTGGCTTGAGCAATTTCATGCCGCCACACATCCGGCGTGCTCCACAGATCGGAGCAGAACGCTGTCACTTCTATTGCTGACAGCTTCGCATTTGTGTGTGCGTCACTGAGGCTGTGCTCACAGAGACGAGCTGCTTTCATTACGAAAGCAATCTGTCCCCATTTCGCTTGCGAGAGGCGGCCCCGCCTCCCCCACTCTCACGCGTCTCTCCTCCCAGTTACCTCGGAGGAAGAAACGGTGAACTCGTGGGGATGAGCGATCAGGCTTCAGTGATCTAATGCTGGCAAAGCCCCCACGTGCTTCACTCTCCATGCAGCTTTTTGATCTGCCAGTGTGTTTACACATGAGGATCTGCACATCTCGTTTGTCGAGCGGCTCAATCCTTCTAAGCGGATCGGAGCAGAACGCTGTCACCAATGATTCAATATCACAGACAGCTTCGTATTTGAATGCGCCTCTCGCCTGGGCCACGCCCATGCTGAGGCTGCGCTCGCTGAGACAGACCGCTCTCACTACGAGAGTTTATGTCTCGCTCTGCTTTGCTCGCGGATCGCCTTCTTCAATGAAGCCGACCCCGCCCCTCACCTCGTCTGCTATGAGCGGATCTGAGAGAATGCACGCAGCACTTTTGATCTGCTGGTGTTTACACAAAGATCATCAGTACCCATCTTCTAATGAGCTGTTTGATCTTTTTGGGCGGATTAAAGGAGAATGCTGTCACTAGTGTTTATTATCACTGACAGCTTCAGATTGGACGTGTCTGGGCCACGCTGAGGCAGCGCGCACGGGGGCTGACTGCTCTCGCTACAAGAGCATTAAGTCTAGCAAAGCATTTTTTTAAAGCACCCCGTTCAGTGCCGGGTGCCTAAGGCAATATGTTCGTTGTGAAGACTGGGCCCGTTCATGCGCTCACACAGCTATCCGCTGTGATAGTGGGCAAATGACAAATTTCCATTTTTGTTTATCACGAGTGTGGGGTCCCTGTACGGCGACCAGCCACTCGAATTAATCCACCCCCTTGTCACGCAGGCCGAGGCCTAGCAGGCCATCCCCGGGGTGTCAGAATGGGTTTTGGGGATAATAAAACGAGGTTATTCACTGCAATACACTCGATGACCTCCATTATTCAGCGGCGTGGTTCCCACCTCGGTTGACAGCACACGTCCTAAACTCCGAGGTGAGGAATTTGCTGGCGAAAGGAGCTGTAGAAATGGTTCCCCCAGCTCAGAGCGAGTCAAGCCTCTACAGTCGCTATTTCCTCGTCCCCAAAGAGGATGGTGGCCTGCGGCCCATCTTCGATCTCAGACGCCTGAATCGCGCCCTCATGAAACGGCCGTTCGGGATGACTACACTGAAGCAGATCCTCTTGCAAATCGGCCCAGAGGACCGGTTCTTTTCTCCGGACTTGAAAGACGCCTGCTTTCATATCCAGATAGCCCCCCACCACAGGCAATTCTTGAGATTCGCCTTTGAGGGAGTGGCTTGTCAATACACGGTTCTTCCCTTTGGACTGTCCCTGACTCCATGCACTTCATGAAAGTGTGAAGCAGAAGGGAATTCGCATTCTCAATTACCTCGACGACTGACTCGTTCTGGCCCAGTCGGAGGCAGAGTCACTATCTCACAGAGCCCTCCTCCTCAGCCACTTAGAATGCCTGGGGCTCAGGGTAAATTTTGCCAAGAGTGCACTGTCCCCCAGCCAACGAGTATCGTTCCTGGGAACAGTGTTCGACTCGACCCAAATTGAGAGCGGTGGTCGCGACAGAGCATGCTCAAATCGCCAGGGAGGGGAGCAAATTGCTTCCTCGAGGCGCCTCCTTATGCTGGTCTAGCGCCTCCTGGAATGGGCTCAGTTCAACCTGCGCTCGCTGTAGCAGAATACGTTCCGGGCAAACTGAACCAAGGAGCGGACATGTTGTCATGAAGCAAAGCCCCCTCAGAAGAGTGGTTGCTTCATCCATAGACGGTTCAAAAAAATTTGGGAGATCTTTGGCAAGGCGGAAGTGGACCTCTTCACCTCAAAAGACAACCCTCACTGCCCAATTTATTATTCCAGGGACAAGGACGCGTTGGCCCACGACTAGCCCAGCCCCCGTCTCTATGCTTTTCTCCCGATTGCCCTGATCCCGCAGGTAATCAGTCGAATCAGAGAACAAGAATGCAAGGTTCTCCTAGTGGCCCCGCTCTGGAGAAACCAGCATTGGTTATCAGAGCTGTCGCAGCTGCTCATAGCAGCCCCATGGCCCATTCATGGGCTCTGCATCTTTGGCCACTCGACAGGAGCCTGCAAGCTTCCCAGAGTGTGCTCTAAACACCATTTCTCCGTCTACAAGACACCTCTACGCCCTCAAATGGTTGGTGTTCTCCGCCTAGTGCTCAACCTGCGGCGAGGACCCATCAGTCTGTGAAGTATCGGTGATATTGTCCTTTCTGAAGGAGCTGTTGGATAAGGGGCGCTCCCCATCCACGCTCAAGGCCCTATAGCAGGCCAGTCGGTGGGCAGGAACAACCTTGTCCATTTTCGGAGGGGGGCTAGGAGGCTGAATCCACCCCGTCCCCTCACTGTCCCTTCAAGGAACCTGCCCACTGTTCCGAGGGACCTGAAAGGCCCTCCCTTTGAGCCGCTGCAGTATGTAGACATTACACTCTCTGCGCTTCCTCCCTCAGAAGAGGACCAGGAGTTGAACTTACTTTGCCCAGTCAGGGCGCTGAAAGTTTACATCGAGCTAGCATTAATTTTGTCATCTATTTTCACTTTAGTCTTAGTCCCGTGTTAAAATGTCCTTGTTTTTATCATATTTAGTCAACCTTATCCTATTTAGTTTTAGTCAAATTTTAGTCGTCTAAAAGTCTCAACATTTTAGTCTAGTTTTAGTCAAAGAAAACCTGAAGTATTTTAGTCTAGGTTTAGTCAATGAAAACTTGACATTTTAGCAATAAGATTATTATTAGTTAACCGTACAGAAGTATTAATTTTGGCAGGCATTTTTTTATTTAGCTAGTCTTAGTCTTACTCAAATGTACATTCAAATTTTAGTCGACTAAAAGTCTCAACATTTTAGTCTAGTTATAGTACAAGAAAATCTAAAGTATTTTAGTTTAGTTTTAGTCGAAGAAAACCTGAAGTATTTTTGTCTAGTTTTAGTCAATGAAAACTTGACATTTAAGCAATAAGATTATTATTAATTAACCGTACAGCAGTATTAATTTTGGCAGCCATTTTTAATTTAGTCTTACTCAAATGTACATTTAGTTATCATATTTAGTCAACCTTGTCCTGTTTTTGTTTAGTCAAGGTTAAGTCAACAAAATGTATGAGCATTTTAGTCCGATTTTAGTCAATGAAATCTTAGTCACGTTTTTGTCATGCTGTATAATGGTTAAACCAGGGCTGTACAGTGGGACATATATGTCGCACGTGCTACGAAATAACTGGTCTGTGCGATGAATAAATTTACCACTGTAGCACGCGTGCGATACAGTTTTGCATGTTCATAACACAGCCGCTTAATAGTGTAAGTGAGTT